TTTGTTTGAAGTTGTGTGGAATGTCAACATCTTGATTATGTCATTTTCTCTTTGAGTTATATGTGCTATCCATTAGTTGTTGCTATTTTTGAAATTACTCAAGCAAGGTCAAAAAATTCATAATCAGTACCTACGATGTCTTGGCATCAGGGAGAGGAATCATAATTTCAAACTGTTTTATCAGGACACCTGCAGTGACTTTATCTCTAAGGAACTTGTTTATTGAACACAATATGCACCATCAGATTGGAATATCTTGCCTTCTGCAATATCTGATAATCAATGAGACCATAATAAAATAAAGTTTTTTTTGTGGTTTAGTATTCCATCAGTTTTTATTCATTTTCATGCACAATTGCTCTTGATGCGCCCAAATCATAAAACTCCTACAAGTTGTTTGTCTTGGATCATTTCTTGTACCAAATGGACTTCAGACTCACTCTCTTGAATTAGATTAATCAAGTTCCATTCTGCTTTTATCACTAAATATTATCATTATTCATTTTTTTAATTTTCCACAGCAGATATTCTTTTGTTGAGTCTTTTTATCTCGTTCAATGTTTCTTTTTGTTGTTAGCGATGGATTTTTTTGTAATAACCATTGAGATTATTTCCATATAGTATCCATTTTATTTTATGAACTGAAACTTTGTTAGTAATTTTGCTTTTATCCATTAATTGATGAGCTTTGGGTTGGATACTGATAACAAGCTTTCTTTGATCTGTTGTGTTTGGTTTGGGGTAGTTGAGGTTGAGAAGGTGTCATGTATTGATGAACAAAAACTAATGAAGTAATGAATTGGTTAAGAAAATGGACAAATAAGAGGATGAAATTAGATGAGATAGAAATTTTAATTCTATCAGGAACTTTTAATATGAAAAATGTTCAAGTATAGTTACTCCTGGTTCACACTCCTTCCCGGTCTTTTGAACAGGAGTAGAGGTTTATCCCTTATTTGCTGTATAGGATTGGGCTTCCAGTTCCTTCTAAAGTCTACTTCAAATCTATATGTCTAACATATGCCTGAACACTGAAATCTTATCTACTAATTATTTTTTTTTCTTCTCAATAGGTGTAGATAGGTTTGCCTATCAGCCAGTTCACACTCAAACCTGGTTTTTTGAACAGGAGTAGAGATTTATCCCTTATTTACTGTTTAAGATTGGGCTTCCAGCTCCTTCTAAGGTCTACTTCAACCTTATACATCTCCATCTGAACTCTTAATTTTTATTTACTGATTATTTAATTTTTGTTTTTCCTCAAGGATACAGTTTTGCCCATCGCCAGGTTGAATTGAAAACAGTAACCAAGGAAAGATAACTCCTGACAAGCAATTAAAATTACTGCAACTTGAAAAATAAAAAAAATGTAGTGGTTGTCTAATTTAAATAGATGAAGAGTAGAGACTGTGATGTATTGGGAGAGGATGAAATGGATATATTCAATCACATTTAGTAAACAGGGAACACGCAGTGAACATTATTTACATTATTTGGACTATTGTCCTCATCTTTGTTGCCATGTTTATCACAATGTTTTGGCTGTTGTACGCTCCGGCCTTCTTCAGGTGATTGGAATGTTGAACTGAACCCTTTATTTCACTTGATGAATTAGACTGTTCTAGTGCAATGTCTAATGGATGTCAGTTATAACCTGTTAAGTTTAACCAGGTATTGAACTCACACTCTTTGGGTCCTGTCACTGGATCTAACTAATGCCTTTATCCACTGTGCCATGAGGACATCTGTGTATGAATTTCTGGGTATTACAAAACTAATGTCTTCAGCAGACATTTTTTACCAGTGCTCATATTGCAATTTTTGCTATTATCATTGAACAGTCTACCCCAGCGAGTGAAATAAAGGGTTCAGTTTGACATTACAACCACCTGAAGGAGTGTACATAAATAGGGTTCATAATACCTCATCTCAGAAATACAGACAGATATTGAAGAATGTGATAAATATGGTGACAAAGATGAGGACAATAGTTTGAATAATGTAAATAGTGTACATAATACCTTATCTCAGAAATATAGACAGATACACAATGAACATGTTGGATTTTTTATTCTGAAAATTACTAAAGTGGAATAATATGGGGATACTTGGGGGTGTAAGCTTCCTTTTTACGTGTATCTCACAATCCTCCTTTTTGTGGAAAAAACAAATTATGTAAAATTATTTTTTTTTTCCTTTTTAGCTTCATCCATAGTCCTTAAAACGTTGTGGTCTTTTGCTAATTTTCCCACTCCAAGTGGTAGTTGGTTGTGTGGAATGTGTTGGATGGTAGTAGTGGTGCATTATGAGGTGGAAGAACTGATTCTGGTGATGGTGGCCTGACTACTGTTGTCTGGTCACCAAGGGAGGTTGGTGCTGGGAGTGGCAATAGATTTGCCTGGATTGTTGCAGGTAACTCCTCTGTTAGTATAGGCACCAGTTCATCAGAGTGTCATTTCCAGTGGTTGCTGGATCTGATTTCCACTGTATATGATCTTGGCCAATGTTGGGAGCTGATCCTTGAATGTTGCTCGTGTTGGTGTCCACAGTAATCACAAGCAAAGACGATGTCACCCTCCTTTAATAATGGTGAGTTTGCCTGAGAGTGGGAAGAAATCTGTCTGCTCTGATTTTCTGAGCATAACAGTACAGTTACCATTAAAATTTAGTCAAAAATTTTCCTTTATATGATCGGTTCAACCTGTGTCTTGTAAATGTCAGTGGAATAATTAGGATATAAAAATTCTGATTGTATTTATACCAATGCAACCTGGAGTTATCACAAGAAAAATATTAATGAAACAAATATATTTTACAAATATATAATTTGAATTTATTGCATATAGTTTTAGTGAAAGAAAGTAATAATATTAAACGTGATGAAATTAATATAATGATAACACTTTTAATCTGCATAATAGCCTTTTAAATAATGACAATAGGTATATAAAAGCTACACGAAAGTCTAAGCTAATAGAAGTTGCCAGGTAGCTAATTTCGACTATCACAAATTTTAAACCTACATATGGAATATAAGACACAGGTGAATTTTAAAAGATATTTTTAGTAAAAAAAAACGTGCATCTTATATGGTAATTTTTATTCATAATAACTTTTAGTAATAATGAACTTTTAAAAGTTTGTCTTGTTTTCTGTTTCTATATGAAATAGTAAAGTTTCAATTAACTATGTGATATTTTTTTAGTTTTTTCTAAAATAAAGTGTGTGTAGTAAAAACAGAACCAGTAAATAAACTTATACCAAAGCTTTATTGTACTATAGTACAATAAATAATACTCTGACTACTCGTCTACTGACAGATATTACAGGGTGCTTTTTATACCTCCTAGATATTAAGGGGAAGTAACTGATGTACAGTATGTTCAATGCAATTTTTTACTAATTTAAAAAAATATCCTCATCTTTGTTTATTGCATAATATTTGGCCAATCTGCTGTTTTTGTTCTAATTAAATTTTGCCTGCTGCAAAATCTGTTGATTGAAATTCTAGTTAAAAAATTAATAAAAATCAAATAAATAAAAGCAAAAACAAAATACTACAGTCATTGGTGTGAGATTATAGGAACAAGTAGAAAACTATAAAAAAAACAAAAAACAAAGGAAACAGAAATGTGTCAGTTGAAAAAAATAAAGAAAAAGAAAACAGGACAATGGAGTAAATTATTTTGTACCTTACAAATGTTTTTTTCTAAAGAAGCCCAGAGAATGAATCAGCTGAAATTATGAAGAAATAAAACAAAAACAAAAAACAGCAAAACATTATGATAATGAAATAAAAAAGAATATTAACAAAATCACATGTAAAAATCTCAAATATATTTAAGTCAACTGAATAACAATGTCACCATGTTTTAAGATTTGTACAAAAGAAATTTTTTTAAAAAAAATGACACTGCAAACACAGTTCAATAGGTAAATTTGTTTTCAGTATACACTTTGAGACACAATGTGCTGGCAGAAATGAAAAATTCAATAAGATAAACTTAGAATGAAGTGTAGAGATAACTTGAGTTTTCAGAGCAAACCCATCAAGTCAATATGTACTAAAAAAAAAAAAATGTAAATAATTAACCAAAAACTAAAGCTGTAAGGCAACAAAAGTTAAAAACTAAACTAAATTTAAACAAAATCCAATAACATTTACTTGCTTGCTACTGAAGAGAATTCTCATGAATAACAAGTGAAAAGCAAGTTTATGTATAACACAGAATGTAAGGATAAATGTGAAATATTGCAATAGGTTTTTACTTTAATTTCAAAGCCATCAGTAGCCAAGTTATGATGTTATTAGGATGATACTGCAGTCATAGCTAAGCGTCTAGCTGTATGAACTGACATACTGAAATAAAATCTGCAATTTGGAAAAAAAAACTATAGATAAAATATAGAAGTATCAAAAGTAAAGTTTACTTACAAAGAAAAGCATAAAAATGGTTAGGTAATGTTGTAACCTAAGGAAGGTTACTGAATAGAATAATTACATGAAAGTTAGTAATGAATGATAATACTTAGGACAAGAACAACATATATAAGATTTGCCAGCAGCATATAGAAGTAGTAGTCAACTGCTAGAAGTGAATCAAGTGAATTCCACAATGAATCTCCAACTGCAGACCAACATACAGTATTTACTACTGTATTTATATGAATGAGGATATACCCATTATCGTCCATAGGTATGATACAACAGGTAAGTAATTGGCATTACATTAAAAAGTTGGTTGTTTTTTTGTATATCAAAACCTCTATGGGTTATTGAATGCCAAAATTTAAATATTTTGTACCTAATTTATTTATTTTTTGGTGGGAGATAATCATGCTTTTAGTGATGTCTTACTAATTAACCCATATTTGAGGGAGAGAAGTGGTTGATTCATACTTTTCCCAAGTAAATATAACAAACTCAACTGGAAATGGAGCTCTGCTCTCCAATTAACAATTCTAAGCCATTACCCATTGTCTTACTCGTCCATCCAAACTTACAGCACCTGGTATTCTTAAGAGGTTACCCATCAAGGTACTGACCAAGCACAAAATTGCTTAACTTTGGTGATTGTACAGGAACCAATGTTTCAACGTGATATGTCCATTAACCAAGATCATGGATGGGATTAAGAAAAACATGACATTGCCGCTGATGGTGATCCCAGATGTGAACATGTCAGATTGAAAAGAAAAAGAGATGCTGGGATAAGTGTACACCCTTCAAAGTACTTCAAGTAAATTAATTTAAAGGGAACATAGGTAGACTATGTTGTTGTTTATATTAAACGACTGACTTCAGATTGGCCTCACATTATAATGAACTTATATTAACCCTCTTTCAATCACATTCCAGTGTACTCTATCATATATTTGTTACAAATAATTGGTGTTAATTAAACAGTGTATTTCTATAGTATTCTTAAAACTAAAATATCTATTTTATACACACTGACACAATTTTATCATGTCGTGTTTGCAAAGAAAAACATTAAAAATTTAAATTATGTTTTGGCAAAACAAACAAATTAGGCAGATTCAAATTATAGCAAATATTTTGTATTAAAAATTATTAATAAGATATGGTATCCCTACTCAATTGATACCAACTTAAAATGAAATTTAATTAACTTATAATTTACAGTGAAAGAAAATTACGCAGCATATAAAGCATATATGAAATTATTAATCTGCAAAGTTCCAGCTTTTAAGCATGGGGAGTTATTAAGTTATTAGAAATTTTATAATCTTCAAGTAACACATTTTAAAATAGAGCCAAGCATTTATCTGTTAAATATGTGGGCATATTTATTGTCTACTACTACTACTACTACTATGTTGATGAACCTGATATAAATAAAAGGAGAACATATTAAGTAGTCAGTAGGCATGTTAATCGACAGTTGGAGTAAAATCCAAGTCAGAGTTATTAAGAAATCTTCCCATGTTTAGTCTATTCCCTTTTCATACAAAAACTGTCTTCATAAAAAGAAACTGGACTATAAAAAGAAAAGCAATTTTTGTGAAACACTTCAACAATTTCTGGAATATAAAAATTTACACTTTATCTGCTTTTTTTCTCTTTTCTTTTGTCTTTTCTTTGTGGATGAATCGAATATTTTTACAAGGCCATATTTTCACTCACTCAACCTTTCAAAATCTACATATCTTGTTCTGTCATAAGATATACAGTACTTTTTATTTATGTCTATTTTAGCTCCTCAAAGGGTTAGCTTACTTATTTAAAATTATAATGGCCCCTGCTTTGAGATTTTAAGATTTTGGAGTAGTTATAAAATTTTTTATTAATTATGAAATAACTAAAAATAATAATTAATTTAAAAGTAGAAATAAATAAATATTTTAATCAGCTAGGTTTGTTTTATACACTGTGCTGTTAAAAGAGCTTGTGTCCCTCTGATGTCGCTTGTACAACACCAAATGCTTCTTTTTCAATCTGCTATTCTTGATTTCCTGCACAACATGTCAACAATATAAAAGTTGCTCTGCTTCTCACTGCTTCATAAAAACACCACAGCTGAGAGTGACCAATTAGGGTTCATCCCTTTGTCCTCAGTTACCCAGTCAAATGGCATCCTCCAGTCCGACAAATCAGCACGTGAATTGCTATTGGTCAAAGCATAATAAACTCTACAAGACTGACCATTACAGAATATACACTTTTGGAATAATCTAAAGCAGGAAGGGGAGATTCATGCCATTTTCAAGGAACAACATTCTGCAGCTACGTGTTGTGTATTGAGGTAAGGAACTTATTTTCCTTTGCATCAGATGCAAGCCATTCTGACTTGCTTGCCCCTGTGTAATTGTTTATCACACTCCCCGCTGATCTCCTGTTCACAAAAAATACAGCAAATCTCTTTTGCCGACTACTCCTCCAAAGTGGAGGAACATGAGCTTCATCCTCAGATCAACTGCTACCAGGAGAGCTAGCAAGACGTACCACGTTAGTATTTTGGCTGCCAATAGTTATGTAGTCATTCTGTGAGGTTGTTTCATCTTCAAAGGATTCATTATCGGGGAATGATCAGGTTCTTCTAGTGAGGTCGATCTCAAATTTACTAACCACTCACTCTCTTCAGAATTGCAGATGTCAGAACCGATCTCATGAAGAGACATAGGTCCTTCACATGATGCGGAACTCCATCGACATGTACTGATTGTGGACCAAAACAATGTCTCCTACTTCATATCCTTCCCGAGTATCCTGAGGTTCAGGGGAGAGCATGGCCTTGACACCCCATATGTGGGTATGGTATGTATGAAGTGCATCAGCTGGTGCTGTAGGAGGTGAGTAGTTATATTTAGGTGTGACGTTATACCAGTAGACCACCTCCTTTATAGAGCACTTCTTTCTAACCACAATGGTTTTGATACTCAGGTGACTTCTTTCTACTATGCCATACCCAGCAGGTGCATAGGCACACAAGAACTGCAAACATACACCCCAATTACTCAAAAAGTCCATGAAATGTGTGCATGTGAACACTGTCATTGTTGGTCAATATCTTGACTCCAACTGGCAAACTATACTTGTCAACATAGTGGTCGCCATATGATTGTCAGAAAATGTCTACTACCATAGTGGGTGATGTCCATTGCTAACCTGCTCCAGTTGTCCCTCACATCCAGCTTTCCTTTTTGCCAATGCACTGGTGCTGGGCCAATGGATTGGCAAGACTCACATTCCTTGACAACCAATTTTATAACTTCTATAACTACTGAAAAATTTACTAACCTGACAAAGTACAGGGTCCTTTTTATGCCCAGGTGTCCAGTTTGTTGGTGGATATTTTCCACTTGATTTGTGTCCAAATTGGTCTTTATAGTAGTGCATACTGACAGTACTGGCTCAGTTCCCTCTGTGTAGTTTTGAAACACCTCTATGGCACCCTGTTAAGGCTGTCCGTCCAATTCAGATTGGACTTGACCAATGTTATGTCTACTATCAAGCCACATTTAGCCGCAAGCTGTTCAGTCATCTCAGCATTAGCATTTCTCCTGATGCCTTTGTATTTTATTCATGCCTTACCAGTTAGAGTGTTTGAAATCCAGTGATGGACACATGCTGAATCACTAAAGAGATGTCATGTCGACACCAGTGATCAAAGAGACAAATTGACACCCTTTATCATTTTGTCTAGATCGGCCAAATTGATATTCTTAGCATCTCCAGCCAGATGCAGCCAAGAAGCATCCTCAATAACATTTCTGGTACCACTTCCGTGGCTACAGAACTCACATCTACACACACTTTCATTTTGTTGTCATTCACACACCAGTCTCCTCCTACGGTATCTGCCTGACATATTCTGTCTATTATATCAGTTATCTGCAATTAAAAGAGGCATCCTCAACTTCATCATCCCATCCTGTGGTTAGGGTATTTGCTTGTTGGTTCATGAATGCAGTTATCACTCGCAGTCAGCTGCAAATGGGAAAGTCGGGATATCCAGGATTTTTCCACTTTGCCTCCATTCGCGCGTGCCATTATCCGCAAGACCTGCAAGCCCAACACCTTAGTTCTGTATTTGAATCTTGTCGGCTCCTTGCATACTAGTTTGTAATTGGACAAGTGCACTCTCACACATATGACAGGTACCAAGCTCTCATTGACATAAATGTCATCAATATAGGCCAATGTGGCATTCCTAATGGATTTTCAGTATGGCATCTTTATAGCTTTCATTATGAGCAGTGTCACATTAAAACTGAAACTCAATTGAGTGAGGCAGTATCTTTGACCTTCAATATTACAGTCTGATAGAGCCACAGTGCCTTGTCAACATGTATCTGCAGTTATGCTCTTTGCAAGTCCAATAAGGATATGTCAGCCCCCAATCGTTGTCATTCCTACAAATTTTGTGTGTACACCTCCAAGTTAGCAACCCTGTTACACCAAAAACATTGTATCTTGCTGTGGGATCTTCATGCCCATGTGCAGTTCTTTGCCAGGTGTTTGGGACCAAAACATTTAAAACAAATGATGATGCCTGTGTGGTAACATCATTACGTGTTTGCTGAACGGACATAGCAACTGACACATTGGGCTCCTTGTTATCAGTCATAACAGCCCTAGTCTGAGTCAAAAGTTGGTCCAAAGTCATGGTGTCCATTCTAGATGATGCCCGGAGAATTTTCTCGACTTGTTGCAACAGTCCAGAAACAAATGCGCATGTCATCCATTGCTCAGGAACTGCCCCCCAACCAGCAAATCTAACCTTTTTAACTCTGCTAGAAATTTGTCTACAGTTTTCCCAAGGTGAAATAGTCATGACACAAATTGATCAAACGTATTGAATAAATCCACCGCATATGCAGTTATAAGGGTTTGCTTAATCTGCTCTGCATCTGACTTCTGCTCCTTCGTCATCTGCCTGTACTCAGTGAGAGTCCTGGCAGTGGCAGTATCCACTTGATTTTCTTCATCTCAACAAGTTCACAAACTCCTAATTCTCAGTCCATATTACAATTAGTAGATTGGTAGTAACCCCTACTGAATTCAGGAAACCTCTCTCTGACATGATTGGGAGGAATGCCAAAATAGCTTGTAGTTAAATGAGCTTGTGTCCTTCTGATGTCGCTCGTACAACACCAAATACTTCTTTTTCAACTTGCCATTTTTGTTTTCTCACACATGTCACCAATGTAAAAATCACTGTGCTTCTCACTGCTTCAGCCCTCTTTTATCATACCAACACCACAGCTGACTGACCAATTAGCGTTCATCACTTTTGTCCTCAGTTACCCAGTCAAATGGCATCCTCCAGTCCAACCAATCAGCATGCAAACTGCTATTGGTTAAACCATGCTAAGCTGTACAAAAGCCACCATTACAGAATATACACTTCTGGAATAATCTAAAGTGGGATAGGGAGATTCATGATATTTTCAAGGAACAAAATGCCGCTGCTACATGTTGTGTATTGAGGTAAGAAACTTATTTTTATTTGCACCAGATGCAAGCCACTCTGACTCACTTGCTTCTACATAATTGTTCACCACATACACATACTTTTTAGAGAAATGTATTTGAAAGAAAGCCAGATGTTCATAAAAAAATTGATATATTTGTTTGTAAAATT